GAGGAGGATGCCGGAGAGCACTCCCAGAGGAGGGGACCGGCATGAGCTCCGTGCAGGGATAAGCTGGGGGAACGGGAAAGGGAAACGGGTGGATTTAGGTAGAGCACCCAGTGTGCTCAGAAGAAGGGGGCAGGAGCTCCGAGAGCTTTGGCCTGGAGCAGCTGGCAGCAGCGCTCCTGGGACAGGGAGTGAGGATGCCTAGGGCGGGCCGCTGAGGGAGGGGTGCCCGGGATGGTGCAGAGAGGCGGGACCCCACCCCTGTGGCAGCTTCCTGTGGCTGCTGTCTGAGGCCCACACGCCGTGGCTGAGAACCAGCGGCACTGACTGTCTCCCAGTTCCGGAGCTGGGACTCCGAGCCCAGGTGTGGGCGGGCCATGCGCCCTCCGGGACCTGCCGGAATGCTCTTCCGGTTCTGGTAGCTCCACGTGGTCTCGGCTTGGGCAGCAGAGGTAGGCATTCCAGAGTAGCCATTGTAACTTACTTTCTCATCGAGGAAAACCACACCCCATCTAAGCCTTCACTGGCGTGGAAACGCCCACGTGTTCAGTATGTTCATACCATTGAACGCGCTGTGGTTGAAAGGAGTAAGACAGCCCTCCAATACGTGCTAACACGGGAAGTTCCCTAAGATGCAGAAAATGAATACAAAGCAAGTGCTGAAGAATGCCTAGAGCAGGGCCTGTCATCTATATTATAAAAACCCAGTGGCCCTAATGCTGTAACGGCCAAAGACCGGTCACCAGGAGCTGCGTGTGTGCCGAGGCAGGTGGGGGCGAGAGGGGCTGCGTCCCCTGGCACCAGCGGGACTCTGGGGAGTCGCACAGCGTAGCGGGGTCTGGGGTCCCGGATCTCACACGATTTCCCACAGGTCTGGGTCTTGTGCGATTTCGCGTGGCCACCCAGGGAAGGTGATGAGCAGAGGGTGGGAGGAAGGGACAGGGCTGAGCGGTGGGGTGAAGTGGGACACAGGAATTCGAAACGCTCACAAGCACAGAGCAGCGTTTTAAAGAGGGAGCCGACCGAAAAGACGGGTGTGTATTCTCTGGACCAGCGGTCTGTGAGTTTTGGCTTGAGAATCAGAGGACTTGCGCCTCTTCGGCCACAATCGGCAGACCCTGCAGCCTGATCGTTGGAGAAAGGGAGCCCCGTGCGGGGAGCCTGGCTCCAACGGGAGAGGGTCAGAGGCCACATAACACCTCCTGGACCTGCATCCCGCACTTGAAGAAGAGCTCTCAGGGGCAGGGCATCTGCAATGGCGGGAACCTCCTTCCACCGGCCAGGCCTCCCTCTCGTGTCCCTCCTCCGCAACCTTCTCTCTCTCTTCCCTCCCTTAGCCTCTCTGCACATGTGTACACACACACACACACACACACACACACACACACACACTCCTGTGATGCTAACCTTCCAACCTGAAGACAACAGTGTCAAGAAAAGGAACTAACAGGAAACAATGGCGTCCAAATCAGATGAGCAGCCTCAAATGATGGCGAGGGCAGAGCCAGCCACATCATGTGACAGTCCGTGGCCTGCATGTCATCAGACATGTGCATCCGGGAACATGAACACAGCGGAAAGCTCGCCAGACGAGTGGCAGCAGTAGCTCCAACATCAGCCAGTGTTTCACTGTTTGTGGGCAAAGCGCAGTCTCTCGCTCATTAGCTGGTTTGAGCCTCAGGCTGGCCCTTTGAAGGGGAACCGGTGATTCCGGATCTTAGAGGAGGTGTGGTTCGCAGGCACAAGCGCTCTGATGCCTGCTGGCCCAACCCTCAGTCCTCAGGGACACCGCTGTCCCAGACTGAGCCTTCCGACTGCCCTTCCACCACTGGCTTCCCTAATAAACTAACCTGTGCTGCTGGCTGCGGGGAGGGGCCTTTGAAGGTCAGTGAAAAGCTGGGTAGATGAGGGAAGGGAGAGAGCCCTTCGGTGGGGAGGGGACACCGATGACTAGCTGACAGTGAGAAGATGCAGAATTTCATTTCAGGAGTGGGCATTGTTATGTCGTTACTCCTGATGCAAACATGTGGGGATGCTAACTCTGTGGGCAGGGCACTGAGCCATGAGCAGTGGACGGAGGCCCGGAAGGGGGTCTGGTCCCGCCGGCTCCGAGCTGCCCCGGGCCAGGCCCGCAGGTGCGGCTGATGGTTCACAGGAAGGGAGAGCCATCGTCCACCCGCCGCTCACTGATCCACAGCAGGCGAGCCTCGCAGTCTGAAGGAAGAAAGCAGAGAAATGGTCACCAGGTTCACCGCCTGCCGGAGGGAGAAGCCCGGGGAGGCGGCATTCACCTCTGGACCTGCACTTCGTAGGCTTTTCGGACGGAAGCGTACACAACGGCAGCTCTCCCCGCAGTCACCCAAAAGCCAAACCGCTCATGGGTAGAAGTGAGACCTCGGGTGAGCTGAGCCCCCGGGCGTCCCCGGCTCCTGGGGACCAGCTCCTGTCCCCCTGCGCCTGGCCCTGCAGCAGCATGTTCACAGGCCAACACCTGGCCAGTGGTGTTGCTGGTCCTCTAAGGTCTGAGGTTATCCTTCCCCCTCCCATGGTGCTTTTGTATAAATTTTCTCACCTCCAGTTACCATGGCAACACCTGTTGAGGGCAGACAAAAGGGACTAGTTCTGCAGCCCAGAGGCTGCTCAGGGCTCCTCCTTGGAAGGGCTGCCCCTCACTGCACGTTGAAAGGACTCCAGGCAGCTAATCGCCAGCGCTGGCTGTGATGCTTAGTCCTCCTCCTTCATCTTACCTCCGTGGCGGCCACTGCCGGCACCCGCGGACTGTGCTTTCTCGCCTGTCCATTCCTCTGTTCTCAGTAATGCAGAAGCAAAGCCCCGGGAAGCGCTTCTTTCTTAATGGACTACGGCTTTGCATGCATCAGGGTTGCAGCTGTCAGGGCTGCGAGATGAAGCAGGAGGCGGCGCAGGAAGAGCCGTTAACAGGAAGTGCCGGGAGGCTGGGCCGGGAGGACAGCAGCTGCAGGGAGCTCAGCGGCAGAGAAGTGCAGCCAGGGGCTGAGAAGGGTGGACGAGGGGAGGGAGCCCTGGTTCCTGGCACATGGCAGCCCACCCCACTGTCCCGCAGCCCCTATAAAGGCAGTGCCGTGAGCGTGCTTAGTGTCTTTTTCCTGCACAACTCTCAGGAGGGCTGCGTGTGGAAATTTTAATAGAAGGAAATGTCTCTGCTTTGAGGTTCATCTCTTTTGTGTTGACAATTTATTAAACCCATCGTAGAATTAACAAGAAATCACGTGCATTTGTGCATAGGTATGTTCGACGTTTTTTACCTTGTGGGTGTTCAGTTGCTAACCTTGGTCATTTGGACAGAGAGGGCAGGTGCACAGTGAGCTGGGTTAGTAACTGGGCTGGTAAGTGTGTCCAGAGGATTCATCCATAACTGCTCTCTTCCTGGAAGAAGGCTCCTATCCTAGTCCCATCCCGTCGGCACTGGGCCTCCCCAGGCAGGACATGGCGGCTGAAGCTGGGAGGAGGGCTACTGTGCCAGCCCCGAGAGGAACTTTCAGGGCATCTCGCCATGCTTGCAATGGCCCAAGACTTAGAGGTGTGAGTGCCACCACCAACCAAATCCAGAAACACAGGCGGAGAGCGGTGGCTGGGCTCCCTCCCAGCTGGGAATTGGATTGCCTTCCAATTCTACACGAGTCTACCTCACTCATGCACCAAGATGCCAGCTGTATGTTGTTGGTTTTTTCACGTTTTTTTTTTTTTTTTAATCCTTACCCAAGGATATTTTTCCATTGATTTTTAGAGAGAGTGGAAGAGAGAGGAAAAGACAGAGAGAAACATCGATGTGAGAGAGACACATCGATTGGTTGCCTCCTGCAGGAGCACACACCTTTAGGCCAGGGAGGAGTCTGCAACCAAGATATGTGCCCTTGACCAGAATCGAACCCGGACCCTTTGGTCTGCAGGCTGACATTCTGTCTATTGAGCCAAACCAGCTAGGGCTGTTATAGGATGTATGAATGCTTCATTTTATGGCCCAATGGTATTCTTTTCTATGGATATACCACATTTTATTTATCCATTCACCAGCTGACGGATACCTACTTGTATTGTTTACACTTTGGGGCTGTTATGAATCCACGTCTATGTTTTTGTATGGACGTGTCTTTCATTCTCTTAGTGTACAGGCAGGAGTGGGAATATAGGGGCCAAAGGCGCCTACATTGAACTGTTTGAGGAACAAACAGGCTGTTTTCAAGTTCCCATCAGCAGGGCGTGAGGGTTCTGATCTCCCCAGGTCCTCACCAGCACTTGTCACCGTCTCGGACTTTTTGATTCCAGCCATCCTAGTGCATAGGCAGTGTATCTCGCTGTGATTTTGGTTGGCGTCTCCTTGAGGACTGATGATGCTGAGCATCTTTCCATGTGCTTATCGGCCATTGTACATGTGGGGAGTGTCTGTCCTGCCCTTTTGCCTATATTTGGTTGGATTGTCTTGTTGTTATAAGAATTCTTTACCTATTATAGATAAACATCCTGTATTGGTACCGGCCACTAGTCGCCTCTTCCCTGTGTCCTCCGTGGGAGGGCAGAGGGACGCCTCAGGACACGGAGGCCTGCGCGTCCTTCGGGTCCCGCTGCGCGTGCTGCACCAACACGCGCCTTTTATAAGACATTTTGCCAGGAAAGTGCAGCTCGCCTTCCCCCAAAGCATGAAACCCCTGACTTCGGGCTCAGATACGTTCCCTGAATGTGATGTCACTGCAGTAGCACAGAGGCCGTGATGTCACTGCAGTAGCACAGAGGCCCTGAAGCGAGGAGGCGTGCAGAGGGAGTGAGTGACAGATGTCTATCTGATGAGACTGACTTGGCTGTTATTTTGGAAAAGACTTTTGATTTACTCTCAGCAGCTTTTCCTCGCTTTGCGGGAAGGAGCAGAAAGCCCAGCGTTTGGCATAGGTTTATAGCAAGCAGGACGAGAGTCTTCCCCCTTCTTGAGCCATCTGCCTTCCCCTGACGCTCTCCCTCTTTGGTTGCAGGCCAGCAAGGAAGAGGGGGCTCTCACCGCATTTCAGAGCCAAGGCGCTGCCGGCTGCGAAGAGTTGCAGAGACACGGTTTTCTCCAAGGTAAACACCCCCTTGCACCAGGCCGCGGAGCCGTTAGCGCTGGCCAGGCGCAGCGGGACGCACAAAGGCCCGTTGTTTAGTCTGCGGGGAGCCGGGGTGGGAGGCGAGAGGAGGAACATGGAGCCTCTGGCCGCCAGCACTGTTACCAGGAGCTCCCGTCAGAATCCGGGCTCCCGGGGCTGGGCTTGCCCTGCGTGGGAAAAGGGAGCAGAGGGGTCCACGCCAACAATCGCCAGTGTGGTTCGACTACAAAACTAGCACCTCATCTTTATGAGCCAAGAGTCAGGGGGTTCCCCCCACAGGGGAAGATAAATGCAGGCCGCAGTCACGTCACATGGGGGAACACGTGCACCCCGATGTTTTACACCAGCTGAGACTTGTGCCTCTGACCGACGTGAGAGAGCCATGCTCTTCTGTAACAAAAATTCCTTTCGTCGGTCACTCACAATTGCTCCCTGAAATGCATGGTTTGGAAAATCATATTTTAATGCCGCTTTCGGGGGGAGGGGAGGTGTGTGTATGTGTCAGACGGCAGACAGGCGGACGCACAAAGAGAAGCCTGGGAGCGCCTCACGGGACGTCTGGAGCAGTGACTGCAGGCGCTTCCTTCGCGAGTCGTGAGCTCAGCAGGAAGAAAGGCCGGGCAGAAGCAGCTGGATTCAGTCAGCTCCAGCCATCCTGAGTGAGCTGCCAATATCCTCGCACAAATTGCTGTGTCATTTCTGTGACATCCCCCGGGGCTGCTCCATCTGGAGCTAAAAGCTGCTTTTGCTCTGCCCTGAATTATATCTGATGGAACGCCTCCTTCCTCCTGATAAAGCTTTCCAGGCACGCGCACACAATCACACACACACACACACACACACACACACACACAGAAATATATGCTCCAGTTTAAAAGAAAGGAAACTTGCCGACTCTCCCTGTTGGCAGTCGGCATACTGTTGCCATGTCTGGGCCCCTAGCTTTCTGGAAACGCGTTCAGATGGGGGGCGGGGAGTCCTTCTAGCCTGGCTGTGCTTTCCTGGAGGCTGAGGGGAGCGTCGGAGGGGGTTTTGCTGTGCGGCTAGCTCCTTCTCTGTCTGACAGAGAGGACATTGTTTGCTGACAGGCTGGCAGCTCTGTGCACACAGCACGGGCCAGAGCAGAGCGGGGAGGAGGCGCAGGCGCCACGGCTGTGTGCCAGCTGAGAGGGTTAAAAAGACCCTTCGCCAGCTTCTCATTGTGTAGATGCGGGTCCCAATTTGGGGAAATTGTTTCCTTGAAGAGACGTTTTCTTCACGTGGCATTACACTGAGCAACCTGAGGAAAGTCTGCGAGGCAGCAGTGTGCCTGCTTTAACTCTGCAGTGACGAGAATGTGACCGTGGCGTGTGGAAATACTATACAGTGCTCTCCAGGTCCCTCCGTGCTCTGCTTCCTTTTTACAGCAGCGTAGTATTCCATTGTGTAGATGTACCACAGTTTTGTAATCCATTCGTCTGCTGATAGGCACTTAAGCTGTTTCCAAATCTCAGCTATGGTGAATTGTGCTGCTATGAACATAGGGGTGCACATATCCTTTCTGATTGGTGTTTCTAATTTCTTGGGGGTATATTCCTAGAAGTGGGATCACTGGGTCAGACGGGAGTTCCATTTGTAGTTTTTTGAGGAAACTTCATATTGTTTTCCACAGTGGCTGCACCAGCCTGCATTCCCACCAGCAGTGCACGAGGGTTCCTTTTCTCCGCATCCTCACCAACACTTGTCTGTTGATTTGTTGATGTTGGCCATTCTGACAGGTGTGAGATGGTACCGCATTGTTGTTTTGATTTGCATCTCTCAGATGAGTAGTGACTTTGATCGTGTTTTCATGACTTTTGGCCTTCTGTATGTCCTTTTTTGAAAAGTATCTATTAGGTCCATTGCCCATTTTTTGATTGGGTTGTTTATCTTCCTTTTGTTAAGTTGTATGAGTTCCCTGTAAATGTTGAAGATTAAACCCTTATCAGGTATTTTTAGTTCGGAAGTTGTGATAACATTGGCAAATATGTTCTCCCATGCAGTGGGCTTTCTTGTTGTTTTGTTGATGGTTTTGTTTGCTGGGCAGAAGCTTTTTATTTTGATGTGGAGCATTGGCTAAGTGAAATATAAGCCAGTCAGAGAAAGATAAATATCACATGATCTTACTCATTTGTGAAATATAATGAATTAATGAACAACATAAACTGATGAACAAAAATAGATCCAGAGGCAGAGAAGTATTGGTCAGCCTATCAAACCTCAGAGGGAAGGCAGGGTAGGGGCTGGGGGGTAAGAGATCAACCAAAGGACTTATATGCATGCTTATAAGCATAACCAATGGACACAGACACTGGGGGGTGAGGGCATGAGTGGGGGTGAGGGGACAAGGGGGGATATGGACACATATGTAAACCTGAATCAATAAAGAAAAAAAAATATGTATATATATATTGTATATATATATATACATATATATATATATATGAAGGAGGTAATATGCAAATTAGCTGGGACACTGTAACAGTTACCACCAGCTCAGGAGGAGACCACATGCAGATGGGCAGGAGGAAACTGTGTGTGATGAGGCAAGCCACGGATGACGCAGGCCTGGAGCAGACACGCACACATGGGGGCCTGCCCAAGCCACCAGGCACAGGTAGAACAGGCCCAGAGCAGATGCACGTGAGCTGCAGAGGAAACACCTTTTCTGACTGCTCATTGGCTAAAGCTCTTGGTATGCCGCTCACAGTGTTCTTGGTAACTTGGGTAATAAGAATCCAAGATGATCTAGAGCACATGTGTCAAACACAAGGCCCGCGGGCCAAATCCGTCCCGCCAGGCCTTGCAATGTGGCCCGCACCGCGCTGTCATCACTGCACTCCGCTGCGTTTCCATCATAATGACAGTTTATGACTGTTCAGTAAACCATTCGGCCCGCGATTTAGGCTGGATTTTAGATTTTGGCCCCTTCTCTGATTGAGTTTGACACCCCTAATCTAGAGGAAAAAAACGAAGGTCCACTGCTGGAGGGCTAAGAAATGTCATATCCTGCCCTAACCAGCTTGGCTCAGTGGATAGAGCCTCGGCCTGTGGACTGCAGGGTCCAGGTTGATTCTGATCAAGGGCATGTGCCTAGGCTGCAGGCTCCTCCCTGACTGGGGTCCAGGTCAGGGCTCATGCAGGAGGCAACCAATCGAAGTGTCCCTCTCACATTGATGTTTCTCTCTGTCTTTCCTTCTTTCTTCCACACTCTCTGAAAATCAATGAAAATATATTCTCAGGTGAGAAAAGAAAGAAAGAAAGAAAGAAAGAAGAGAGGAGGGGAGGGGAGGGGAGGAGAGGAGAGAGGAGAAAGGGCATATCCTATGAAAGACACATCTTGAAAATGCTTAAAGAAAGTTGTCATTTTTTCGTGGTGAAGGGACTGGAGTCCGTGTTGATGAAAACGCCTTGGCGGCTGTGGTGTTTGGCAGTGGCAGCAGCAGCAGCAGCTGGGTGATGGGGGTGGGGCCTTCCCCTGATCAGCCACCTCCCGCAGAGGCCATGGGGAGTGGGCCTAAGCTGTCAGTAGGACATCCCCTAAGGGCTCCTGGATTGTGAGAGGGGGCAGGATGGGCTGAGCCTCCCCCCATCCAGTGCATGAATTTCATTACCAGGCCTCTAGTACTTTATAAACTCTCAGCCAGGCGCTGCCTTTAGGTGAGGCCTGCCCTGTGGGAGGTGCTACGCCCAGGTGGTTAGCACATGAAAGGCAGCCAGTGGGGTGGAAGGCTCAGAGCCTGCACAGCCTGAAAACTGCCCCAGCAGGAGTGGAGACCATGGCTGGCCCTTCATCCCGCCTCCCAGCACAGGAGCTGCGGACAAGACTCTGTGGTGCCTGGTGGCTCCAGGTTCCTGGGGACCCCTGTGCATGTGTGCTGCTGTCAGGCCGCAGGCTCCATGCTCACAGCGAGCAGGCAGGGGAGGTGGGACTGCAGAGCAGGGGCCTTAGCCAGTATGCAGGGTGCTCGGTGTCCATGGTGCAGCCCCCCGCATGCTCCACAGCAGGACGGGGGCTCACTGCAGCCAGGCACGTTGAGAGACAAGTTACACAGGATCAGTGATTGCTGTGGCAGGTTTCTCAGAGGCTCCTGTGACTCCCCAAAGCCAGATGCAGGATGTCGGGTTCCTCGAGGCGGGAGAAATGTCCGGGGGTGGGCAGTCGGACAAAGCCATGGGGGGAGCCCCCTGGGGCTGGCGGTGGGGGTGTGGGCATGGGGGGCTGCCACTGAGACCATCAGCTCCATCCAGCGTCTTCGTGAAACGTCGGGGGAGGTCCCTGGGTGTGAACTCAGGGCAGAGGAGCATACGAACGGCGTCTTTCCACGGAGCTGCTTGGTGTGGGCACAGCGCTCCTCGTGAATTAGCTTCCACGTTCACCGGCAAGGAGGTGCCCGGGAACTGTGTTTGGCAACTTGGGGAACGTTTCAGCGTTTGACTTTCCCTGTTTACAGTACAGCGGCGCGCAGTCAGGCATTGGCACGCCTGTGAGGGAAGGCAACGCTTCAACCTTCTCTGTTGTGATCTAACCATCTATTTCAGGGTAAGAGGAATTGGTCTCATTTGGAAAACGTTTTATACAAATACTAGATGCCCAATGCATAAAATCTGTGCACTCGGCAGGGGGGGAGGTGTTCATCACCTGAGCCTGAACCGTCTCACAGTCCAGGAGCCTTCGGGGGATGTCCAACTGCTAGCTTAGGCCCACTCCTCAGGGGAAACAAGCCTAAGCTGGCAGTCAGACGTCCCTCTGGCAGCGCGGGAGCCCTTGGAGGATGTTGGACATCCTTAGTGTGGCCAAGGAGGCGGGAAAGGCTCTGCCACCCGCCACCCACCACCCTGCACTCGCGCCATCAGTCCAGCTTGTGGCTGAGCGGCGCTCCCTCTATGGGAGTGCACTGACCACCAGGGGGCAGATGCTCAACACAGGAGTTGTCCCTGGTGGTCAGTGCACATCAT